GACTAACAGACAAAAAAAATATAAAGATATAAAATTCTTATTCGAGCGCAGATACTTTCGAAAAATTCTATTTCATCGATTTTCGAAAGTAACAATATTAATTTTTCAAAACAAAAAAAACATATCCAAAATATTTTCATTAAGAAAATAAGTAGTAATAACAAATGATGAAAGAAACATGTAAAAAATAAGACAAGCAATTTTATTAGTGACAAAACGAATGAACAGCAACAGAGAACTAATACAGAGACCGCTTCCAAATTCATTCAAACATTGCAGAAACCATTCAGGTACACAGTTTTATAAAGAGACCCTTTAACTTTTTCTTAAATATAGCCTTGGTCTTAATGCTCTGGGGAACAGAGTTGAAATGTTTTACTGCATTGTAACTAAACGATCTATGACAGTCAGAAAATCCCTATACCCCGTGGCCCTATGATGAATATCAGAGCCTCCGACTAGCTTATCAAATAAACACGAAAGGGTAATTTTAAAAGCAAATGTATAGGATGGGACGTTTATTTTGAGACACTACCTTATCTTAGAAACTGTAAGCAATGGAACCAAAAGTTACAAACCCAAACCAAAAATACATATATATTTTTTCTTTCTTGAAAATTCCATATATTCTAAAGTGTTGGTAAATCCTGTCGAAGTCGAAGTAACTTTCTAAGATATTAATCTTTTCCTCTGTGGTAAACATAATACACAAGCAGCATTCTAGCACTTGTTTTGTTTAAACGCCGTCATAGCCACCTTACACTAACTGAACTTATTTGGCAACAGCATGTTATTTGTGATAGACAAATGTTTAAAAGAAAATATTTCAAAAAGTTTTTTGGCAATTTTTTTAATTTCATTTTGAATCTTATTTTTCACGTACCCTGTATTATTATATATCGAAATTTATTATGAAATGCGTTATTCGAGTCCTTTGTCTAAAACAAAACTTATTCAAGTGAAACAATAAATGCTTCCAAATGAAGAAATTGGTAGATAGATATTTTAAATGTTACAAACGTCGGTTTTCGCATAAAAATTAAAAATATTAAAAACGGTAAGACTTAGGTATAGGACATTATACACAAAATATGTTTAGAATGTTGTATAGAATTCATAAATGAAGTAGTATACCAGGTGTTCCATTTAAAATAAAAAAGTTTAATACTCACCCACGAAAAATAAAACACCATGTATATACAACATTAAAATAAATTGAAGGTTTGTGTTTCTAAGATACGATGCAGAGACCGAACATATCAAAACTTCATACAGCTGTTTTGTAATTTTTGGGAGTTTTTCTCTGTCTTTACGAAGAAGAGGGCGCCAGTATAACACACTGCACATGCCAACGTAGATAAAATAACGCCGTGACACAGTTTCAATTTCACTGATTGTGTAAGAAGACAGTTATAAGGTCTTAAGTTCACAATAACTTTGTTGGACTAGGACACTTGAGGTCTAAATCTCATTTTGTTATCAAAAAATACGCCGAAATTTTTGCACGAAGTACAAGGGTTCAGTTTAACTTTATTCGTATATCATATTATTTAAAGCAGCATCGTAAATATTGCCTAACAAAACGAGCTGAGATTTAGAGTTGTTAAGGTGAAGTATTATATGCAAGGGAGATGTGACTTACAATCTTTAGATCATGATTTATTTGATGTTCTGCATATTAATGAGAGCTGAGATAGTTAATGACAGAGATAGTAATGACAGAAATCAGAGGTATGAAGCGAGAATAATAATGGTCCCTGAGGAACCCCTCGAACCATGTCAAAGAATTCAGAGTAAGAGTGTCAAATGATCTGCTATAATCAAGAAGAACTAAAATTTGTGCTTCACGTATAATATTATCAGATACTTTTAAGATGGCGGTTGTTGTGCTATTATAGCATTCCGCAAAGAATAATCGCTCAACGGTTCAGTCATAACTGCAAAAGCTCACTAGTGTCACTGCTCTTAGCTACTGATATAATACTGTCCAACTTCCAGTGACTATTTGTTGAATTTTGTCGGAGCTAACCTCGGAAAACTAAAGTGATAATTATCAAAATGTGAGGCACTATTAGTAAAATATCTATTGTTCACTGGCGCATGAATCATGGGCACACTTTCTAGAAAAAAAACATTAAGCTCATCAGGAGTGTCAAAATGAAAAGAAATGATGACTGAATGTTAATCTAACGCAAGCTGCGCCAAAATTCCTTAGGATGAACACGAAATCTGGTAATTTCAGTACGCCTTCTTTTCGTTCGGATCTATGTTGTGATAAGATTTCTAAAGACTTTTATATTCATCCCATGCAGCAGAAGTTTTCAATAATTTAATTTAATATTAGAAGTTATCCATGGTATTTGGCATGTTTAACAAAAAAATGATTCAGTGAAGTTGACTCGAACAATATCAATATCACAATGTGATAATCAGTAATCACGATAAGTTCTGAATTTTGTAGGGGAGGTGACATTTAAGTCACATTTTACTAAGCAGTAATTATTTTTACCTAAGAACAGTCGTGGCTGGGGATTAAAGATGTTAAAGTAATTTATAGGATATTTAAACAGGTATTTGAGTTACAAGGACTTAAAAAGTTTACCAAAGGTGTTGCCTACTATACTTTTTCTACAACGGTTAGTTTTTTGGTACATTATTGCCCATCTCGAATATGTTCATTGACATGACCATTAGAGTTGACAAACATCAAAATTCAAGGTGTGGGAAATATCGCCGAAAATATCCGATTGAGACAAGACACTCACGTCGGTGTATAATGATGTATTATACACAAGGGATTAGAAAAAAGATTATATCGTCAAGTTAAGATAAACTGCAATCATAGTTAAGTTCGGTATTTATAAATTATGGTTTAACGTTGACTTCTGAATACGTTGGCTCGATGTTACGAAAATTCTTCTATAAGTTGAGGACATCCCATATTCACAAACATCTCAGTAAGGAAGACGAACTGAAACTTTGTGATATGTTACTTTTATCCCATGTCGCTTATTGTAGTATCGAGATAAGGAGAGACTGCAACGACTTCATCATGCTTGTATTCGTTTTAATCACCGAAAGGATGAGCATATTTTCCAGTGCCCCTCTGATTCGTTGGCTCAAGCTTGTTGGCCGATATAAAGTTCAGTTGGCCACCTTTATTCTTTTTGCTAAACGCTAATAACACTCCGTCACACTTGTCTGATATATGCAGAGAAAATGATATACACAATCGAGACACCCACCATTGATCGAGATATTACGATCCTAAACATATTTCAGTAACTTTCCAGAGTAACTATAACGGAGTTCAAATATTTAATGACATATATTATGTTATAACGTCCCTCCCCACAATAAAGTTGTTCAAACAAGCATTTTGTTTTCTTGTATTTACGATATATGTCTTTTCTATTTTTTTCTTAGACCATAAAGTATATTTATATATGTATATGTTAGGTTTCTTGGGATACAGATCTGGTTATGGAACTGGCAAAATTAGAATACTAACTACATTTTTTATTTGACGTTTCGGTCCAATGTGACCTCATTCAGAATAAAATGATCTAGACAGTTAGAGTCAAAGTGGGGAAGCATTATTGTCAAAATTGTTGGTCATGTTACCCTTGTTTGAAACAATCCAAAGTAAAATGTATATAAAACGACTCACACACATGGAAACAGTGGTTCACAAAACAATTAACAATAACATTAATTGTTTTGTGAACCGCTGTTTCCATGTGTGTGAGTCGTTTTATATACATTTTATTTTGGATTGTTTCATACAAGGTTACATACTTGTTTGCAATATATTCCGGGATATCATTGATTATATTGTATATATGTATTGATTGACGGATGGAAAAATGTCAGGTGTCCGTAGTTTTCTCTCTCGATGGCCTCTCGTAAAATGCTGGTCCTAAAATCAGAAAGATTAGCTATTTGTTTCCAAGTACCGAAATCAATTTTATGGCCTGTCTGGTGGTGGTGCTGAAACAAAGCAGAATGTTGCCACTCTTGCATTACAACTTATAATATCTTGATTATCAATAAAGACAGTTTATTCTTATTAGAAAAATGTGTTTTCTTTATTGTTGTAATTATTAATATTCGGTACAAATGTAAAACAATCAAATCCCACCTTATATTCATTACCTCACGCCACCCTTATCATAACAAAACAAAACGAAGTGTGGCCAATCATCTGAAGTATTTCCGAATTAGAAAACCACACGGCGTACGTCAGCTGGCCAGTACCGTAATCAGATCTAAATTCTGTGTTACGCATATACTGACAAATTCATTATTGTATGATAAAGTTCTATATTACATATTTTTTTGGATTATTGAAGTTCCCATTTTTAATAATGCAGTATTTTAAAGACCTTGGTTTTGTAAATGGTATAAACGAGAACATTCTGAAATTTAAAAAAAATGGTTGTAGTAGGTTCTAGTAGCTATATGTGTCAACAACTCTCGATAAGTGATGTAAAACTAAAACGTCATTTTCTTACTTCTCCCCATAAGAACTTAATAATAAATACTGTATACTCAAAAAGTCACGAAACAACCGATATATAACAAAGTGGTGCTGGCTGCAAGAAGTCACAGCTCTGTGAAATGTTTCAGTCATTCAATAGGCTTTAACATTGACGAAGTAGAATAATGTGACATAATCCTCAGTAGGTATATTATGCAACAAGTTTGTTAAATCACACTTTTGTCACGAGTGTATTTTGATGAGCCTAGTGCAGCGAACGAGCAGCTGAAGAAATTTATCAACGTGTTGAATTATTATACGTTTTCTGTAACCATTGTTTTGGTTAGTTGACAAAGCTGGCGTCTTAAAGCAACACATAAGTAGGTATTTTAGACCAGGGAGCACAAAATAATATATTATAGCTAGCCAGTGTCACGGTGTTTCTATTCCTAGATTTTTTTAAACTAAAACCTTAACTTTTGTCACACGCCCTTTTTAAGTAACATAACGACTAGTTGATGTAAATAGAAAAGTATATTATTTATTTCATTTTACAGGAATGTCGATTTTAACAAATTAAAATTTTGTCCGGATCTGCGTAACCACTATTTACAGTTTTTTATGATAAATAAAAGTGACTGCCATGTTGCCGGTTCTAACTTCAGTTTTCAAAATACTTTAAAAAGCACAATAAAGTTGAAGTAGGCATATTAAGTCATAAAAATTTGATAAAAATTTAATATACGAAGAAATTTCGGGAATTGAAAATATTTCATATTAATTTTTTGTCACAAAGGCCTCCTTTGTCTCATAACCTCATTTTTTCAAATATTCGACAACATTGTACGTGTGCCAAGCGGAATGAGAATTAACTGATAATATTGATAAAAATATTGTTGCCTTAGTTTGTGGATGTATTTTATCGAAGGATGTGGTATTCCGACTTATGACGCAACTTTCCATTAAAACATAAAAACACGATTTCAATGAAGTTTAACACAATGGAATTAGAAGATGATGTACATAGGGGGTATTTATTACTACCCCCTGGTGGAAAACTGCTTCTGAAGGTAATATAGATTATGTTGCCGTCCAATATGATTTGCATGGCATTATTTTCAGAAATCTTGGCAAAGAAAATTTTGCGTTTTATTTAAATCGAGCAAATTCGGGATTGCTCGGCTGGAAATTTATGAGTCAACAGACACCAAGTCAGGTCAACCAAAAATTATTACTCTAGAAAATGTAATAAAGATAACCATAAAAAGTCCTACCTCCTTTAGTGTATTGACTAAAGCTGGCGAGTATGATTTTGCCACCGTCTCTGAAGAATCTTTGCAAGACTGGGTTTCTGCTATTCAGAATGTAGCCTTCCCAGATGAAGTATCAAAAATAACTAGCATAGAAGAGGATAATGAATTATATTGCTCATCTGCTGAAGGAGTATTTAATAAATAAATAGTTTAATTTTTTTGTTATTCCTCCATTTTTAGGTGTTTTATGTTAAACTTCATCCTTCTCCAGCATCTCAGAGGTGTAACCTTGACAGTACTAACTACATATTGGTATTAACATCAAATGCTGTTCAATTGAGAAATATGAGTGATAATAAATTATTGTATAATTGGCCATACTGTTATATCAGAAAATATGGTTACAAACAGGGAAGATTTACTTTTGAAGCGGGGCGCAAGTGCGATTCAGGAGAGGGAATATTTTATTTAGAACATCCCAATCAACAGGAAATATTTCGATCTTTAGCAAATAAGATGAAGTCTATGAAAAAATTACTTTCTGGAGAGTCTACTTCATCACTCCTAGAGGCTGGAGATTTGCAGTTGCAGGCTGCAATCAACAATGAGGCTGGATCAAGAAGTCCACTGCCAGCTTCCCTATCTGTGGCATCTTTGGCTGATACTAATATATCTTCCAGGTCTCATATTAGCCATTTTGAAATAGACTCGCAAAGTATCGCAAGTTTAGTAAGACCTAAACCAAAAAAACCACCCCGCAAAACTGTCTCCCAAAAACCAGTTGCGCCAATACCATCACCAAGAAGAAATGCAGACTCGCAGTCAGTTTATGAACCTATCTGTAGATATGACACTGTTGAGCAACGTAGCGATGCTTGGAAAACCATGGGTGTGGAAGATATCAACCATACAGGTAAAGTTAGATATTTCCAGTTTATTTTTCTCACTTAAACTTAGTTTAACCTTTATTAATAATTAAGACATATGTAAGATTATAAACGTTCTTAGCTTTATATAGAACTTTGTATACCTTTGAAATGTTGTTTTCCTCGCTTGTTCCTCAGTTACTGGAATATAGTTCTGTTGTTTGGTCTCATCGCTTTTAACATTTGAAGAGATTGCAAAATAGATTTTCAAGAGTGACAGCTTACAGATCATCAGAAGAGCGATGAGTTTTGCTGCATTAGGATCATTTTCAATATTGCTGTGTTTTGTATTATATTATTATTATTATTCTCTTCATACCATTTCACTGTATTTATGATGTCATTTTGATTTTATTTTTTTAATACAAAACTTGGGAAATTTAAAAAGAAAATGTTAATTTTTCTTATTTTCTCATTCTCATTTGCCTTGTGTGCTTTTGACATGATTTGTAAACCAAGGAGTTCTTAAATACCTTCCAAATTTGATTTGTGGATTGAAATTGACTCCAGATGATTTTTTGATACTTGAGTTTCAAACAGTTTAATACTTCAAGCGACCGCATTAGTTTCGTGCTCCAATTAACTGAACTGTGGTATCAAGGATAGAGAAAATATATTTGATTTATCTTGTTGAAAGTTTTGATGTATATTTTTCAGAGCAAGCCAATTCCGATGAGGATGATCCAGAGTACATGTCATGGGGGCATGTTAAAAAGGAATTAGATAACTTAAAACCAGATAGAACTTTAGCACCGGCTGTGATAACTGAGGTTACAAGCACTTTGGACGGTACAAACTATGACAAGCTCAATTTCTTTGGTTCGTCCGGTAGGCTTAATGTCAAATCAGGTATGTATATGCTGAGATTCTTTTTGGGGATAATTTTAATTGCTATATTAGTTAAGCAACAAATTTCATGTTTTTAGGGTATAAGCAAGTTTTTCCACCGCCAATCCCTGCAGTACCCCCGCCCGCGTCTTTTAATGATTACGATGAAGTTCAGTGTATTGAGCCCGTCAGATCTGCAGACGACTCTCATTTGGGGTACGGGGTTCTAAGAAAGGATCTCGGTAAGAAAGAGAAAAGCGAAGTTACCCACCAGATACATAACCAAGAAGCTTATGCAGTTGTAAGCAAGCCGAAGCAAGTCTAGTCTTGTTTGAAATTGAAAAAGCACTTTTGTAATATTTGTCATTAATTTTGCTCAATATTTCGCCATGGTTTTATTTATGAGCAAGCCAGTTTTATGATCAGCCTTAGTGAAAAGGAGAGAAAAAGACAGAAGTTTACTATGAAAAATTTTTAATTGACAAATAAAATTGTACTTAACTAACTTTATCTAGTGTACGAAGTGGCTCAGGTTTCTGTTCGACTCAATTTGATTGAAATCTTAAGGTAAAACAAAATTCAGAGCCCTAATAACGCCTACTTTTTGGTTTGTATTCATATTAGATTTTTGAAACCATGATTTAAGTTTCATTTTGGAACCAGTATTATGTTGTTATTATTATTTTAAAGTGAAGAGCCATTAAAAAATTTCATTCAGATTTACACAGGGAGACTAGTCATAAGTTTTGTGACTTCAGGTTTATACTTTATAGTCTTGAAACTAAATTTAAATGTCAATGAAAAACTTTAAATCCTTGTTTTTAATTTACTTTCTAACTTGTAGAGGGGAAGGGAGTCTCTAAATTCACGAAATTTGTAACATAATTGATGGTTATTTATGTCTTATTCTAAATTTTTCAAAAATTTTGTGTATTTTTTGAGGCTAATATGCGCACACTATTTTGTGTTTTAAGAATATTTTTTATATTATTATTATTATTATATTATGACAAATATGATAACATTGTTTTCTCTTGTGTGCCATTCCGAAAATTCTCGAAGGGAAAATTGTGTACAGTTTTTCTTTCGGGGATTTCACTGTGTTTGTGGACAATATTAAATCGGTGCCTTAATTTATACTAACCACATTTTAACCTCCCAAAGATGTAAAGTAACTATCACTCCGTGGTAAGAGAGCAATTTTGTGTCTTTCATTTTTTCAGTATCAGAAAAAAATGTTAAGATAGTGAATTAAGTTTTGTGTGCTTTAAAAGATCACATTTCAGAAATGAGTTACTTGATACCTGTTAAGTTTTTATTTCTGAAACAGATACCATTCGCAATATAATCGTTTCGTTAACTATATTTAAATTTAGAATTTGATTTACTATTAAATAAATTTTAAAAGTGCCGGAAAAAACTTTATAACCTAATTATAAGAAAATTAGTTTCAACTTAACCTGTGATAAAAATCTAACGATTAAATTGTAAATATTTTGTGCAAAAATTTGTTTCAACAGTGAGAATTATGTGCTATTGATGAAAAGTAGTGCCATTATCTAGACAATTCTAGAATTTGATCTAAACATACATTACATGTTAAAGGCATTTGTAATTAATGCAATTTCCGAGCTCAACTGTGATGTAAACCATTTTTGATACTCCTTTATTAATTTCAGATAATGGTCTATGGTTATTTTCACAAAAGTTTTGTTTGACTTATAGGAAACCTCTTATTAGATATTGCGGTTTTCAAATTTAAATATTATTTCATCAAAAAGTTTTAATTTGGTATTTCTTGCACATCAGGCAGTTAAACCTCTAAAACACTACTGTAGTAATTCCATATGTGTTTTTATTTACCAAAGATACCTTTTGTCTCCTTTGATACCATAAAATTTAAACTGATGTAATACTGCCATATGTCCTGTAGCAATACAATAAAACAGTTGTAAAAAATGTTTGTTTTATTCAGTAATAGACTCAAGTATTTACAAATTCCCCATGAGATATTCTTTTAACTGTCTCTCCCTTCTCTGCCAGTATATCTTCAACATTCCTCTTTCCATCAAGGTCTGTAAACCATTTTAAATTGTCTGCGATCAAGTGGTTGTTATCACATCCCGTACATGTTACAATAACGACGCCTTTTTCGTAAGCAACTTTGGATATATTATGAATGTTTCGAGAGCAACAAACCTTACAAGTGTATTCCAGGTGTAATTTTGCTTCGATTTTGGCCAATGGAACATTAATATTTATCTTTGATTCTTTAACCAAACTCCTGGTAGGAATGCTAATTAACCGATTTGAACCGAGTGCGAGGCGTGCAATAGTACCTAAATATCTTGAAAACATTTTCAAAAAATTAGAACCAAATCACCTTTTATTACAACATAGCACACGGTTCCGAGTGTTTTTAACAGCTGGAAAGTCGTTCTTCTTCTTTTAAGCGGTTGATTTAGGGCGAAGGCAATTACCCAACACTTCTCCGCGAACTCAGAAATGTGAACAACACCTGAACAAACAAATAGCTATACAGCTAAGAGGCAGGCGCAAACTTGAAAGTCCTCCCTACGACTGAATCTCTATTCAGTACTCATCAATCAAAAAGTGATGAAGAATAGACCATAGTTTAAAATTTAGTACGTTGATTCGAAATGTTACAGACAAGCTGCTTTATCTAGCAAGGAAAAGTCGAAAATTCTTCTAGTGCAACAAACTGGAACTTAAACGTCGATTGGCCTTTCGCTAAAATTTAGTTGTTTGCTAATTACTCCAAATTCAGGAGACGACTGTTGAGAATAATCGCTATACTACCATCCCTAACAAAGTCATAAAATTCGGTGATGGTTGTGAGTCTAATGCTTGTATCACTGTTCTTGTATCACCAGACTCCGCTGTAACCGGAATGGAAAATTTCCTCTTTGGATGCTGGCAATGAAAGCTCACTTGACTCAGTATTCGGATTCAGCAAATTAAAAAAAAAATCTCTCTCTCTTCTGTCATTCTATGAGCAAATATTCTGTGGTGTTTCGTGACGTGTTGAATAAATTTTAAGAACTGTTAATATTTGTTACAAGAAATGTTTAAATATCAGTTTTTCTCACTCGGTCTTATATTATTTTATCTAAATTTTTCTTCAGCTTTATATTTTCATATAGCCGAAACAGAGCGCAAATGCTTTATAGAAGAAGTTCCAGATGAAACCAATGTTGTAGGTAAGGTGTTCCCAAAAAGATTTTGTATTTATTTGCTTAATTCGTTTACATTTTGTAGTTAATTATAAAGTGGAGTTGTATGACCCTCGAACAGGCGGTTTTATGCCGTCAACGCCAGGTATAGGCATGCACGTTGAGGTACGAGATCCAGATGATAAAACAATTTTGTCAAGGGTGTACAGTTCAGAGGGTAAAATTTCGTTTACTTCGCTTTCTCCAGGTGAACATGTGATCTGTATGTATTCAAATAGTTCAGCATGGTTTGGAGGAGCTCAGTTAAGAGTACATTTGGATATCCAAGTTGGAGAACATGCCATTAACTATGGCGAAGTAGTACAAAAAGAAAAGCTTACTGAATTGCAGCTTAGAATTAGGCAGTTACTTGATCAGGTTGAACAGATAACTAAGGAACAGAATTACCAAAGGGTATGTTATATATTTTTTAATTATTCTTTCATACTTAGTATTTTATTATTTTCAGTATCGAGAAGACAGATTTCGTCAAACTAGCGAGAGTACCAATTCTAGAGTATTATGGTGGTCTGTAACGCAAACTGCAGTTCTTGTAGTAATGGGAGCATGGCAAATGAGACATCTGAAGAGTTTCTTTGAAGCAAAAAAACTAGTATAAGAATCTCTTAGTACTTATGATTTTTAATAAGTGCAATCAATTCTGTAAATGATTAATGTAATAATGCTGTTAATAAATAATAAAACATTTTTATGGAATTTTAATGCAACATATTGCATGAAACATATTTATTCAATAAATCCCACACATTTATCTAAATATTTTGCAAACAAATATTTATCAGTCTCTGGATAATGGATTAATTTATTCAAGTCCTTTTTTAATGTTTGAGCTAAAGTTTCACATGTACAGTAATAAAGGTATCCATCATTTTGCAGTTGATTTGCAAGTTCCGTTTGATGGTTATTCATTAAATCCTCATTTACCACCACAATCAGAGGCTTCCGCCTCTTCAAAACCTCCAAACAAGTGCCTGCACCAGCATGACTTATAATTAAATCCGCCTTTGCAATTTGACTATCAAAATCAATGAAATATGTATCATATTTAAACGTGATCCTGGAATTAATTACAATAGTGGAATCATTAATAACAGTTTTATCCAATTCTGAATCGATTTTTGGACCAGGAAAATATTTTCCTGTTTGAACTTGAACAAAATCATAGCCCAACTCAATCAGAGTCTTGACCACTACCTTCTGTGTTAATGAATTTATTAATTTAGGAAACTTGGTCGTCCCTATGGTTACAAATACCTTCTTTCCAGATTCCATGTATTATATTCCTTTGTTGTTAAAGTTAAAAGATTACTATGGCAATTAACCTTAAAATATTTTTACAATTATCGGCAAACTCGAAATTAAAAATACCGCTATAGAATATAGAATATATAAATGAATATCGTGGAATACAATTCAATATAATAATTCTTGACATTTCGGCCACAGACCGACACAGATTCTCGGCTTGTTCCGTTGGTCACTGACCCAACTTCCGAAAACCAAATGGTGTGAACAGCAGAAACAGCGTTGCTGTACAACACTATTGCGTTTAAATTCCCTTCTATACACGCAAATAAAGCGATATTAAACAAGTTATATTGAGAAACGACGGATGCTGCAAGAAGCCGACAAGAGAGATCATGCCACGTGCAATGCCACCCACAAAATCCGACCGTGGTGTACTCAATATCGTTCGCACCAAAACTCGGTATGGGAATTCCATTGCATACTCAAGCACAGAAAAGCTTTCTATCTCATAAAGGTGACGTTTTTGATTGTTATTCGGATATCATGCTTTTTTAAAATTAATATTAAGGATTGCATCAGATTGACCTGGTTAACTTTAAAATCACCTTTTAAAAACTATGCAGTTTATAAATTGCTTCAGACACATCGATTAAACAACAAACTTATGACTGTAACGGAGTATGGAAAGAAATCTCCGTGATTTGACTTTTTGCTACCAACTGCAGTTCTGCTTACAGAGATCAGTCAGTGTAGAAGTGTGACGTTTCAGCAAAAATCGAAGTGGACCGTTGCATATCATATCTAGAATATTTGTCGCAAGCGACAACAACGATTTTTGTATACCAGGATATCCATTTTGTTATTCTATGGTGGTATTTTTTTATTATATTTCGTAATAGTTAATGTAAAACCGTTCTTTATATGACACTGTGCAGAACAGTTATTATGACAACAAAATTCTAGCAAAGGCAACTGCATCAACAGTCTCAGACGCTATTTATACGTATTCGGGCTGATTTACCGGCAAAGATGATCTAGCGAATTTGGTTAGTTTGTTCCCGCAGCTACTAAATATACAGGGGGTCCCGAATATTGGGTTCAAATTTCAGCAGTTTATTCTATTTCCAAAACAAAAGTTATCGCAGTATTATATTGCAATTGAGACAGCAAGAGAAATATATATTTTTCTCTTTGCGGTACATTTAAAACTTGCCGCTATTGCACTGCGCGGCTTTTTTCTGGAATTATTCAAGCGATCCTTTCGATCAACTGACTTGGATAAATGGTATAGAACGGAATGCCCCAAAAATTGCATGGGCGTCTAGTGGTAAATATAGGTCACTCGCTAAAATATTAGATGAACAAGTAATTTAAGAAAAAGTGTAGCTCGCCATTTGATGATGTTCTTCAAAAACCAAGATATATAGAGATTTTAATGGATATTACTGATTTCAATCAAGTCAATTATGCGTTTCACAAAAAATGTTGGGCACGACTGCTAGGATCATTTGCCCATTGCCGACTTCTGTCGAGGATTTTCGCTTCTGGTCAATTGACCACCACGTACAAAGAAGAAAAATAACCAATAATTTGCTCAGCTAGCAAAAAACGATTCTGACCGATACCAAAAAAAATCGGCTTCCCCCCGCTTCCACCGCGGACCATCCGGGCCCATCCGGCCTCCATACCGGCGTGAACGGAGAAAAACGACGGGGCCGACGACGATTATCACTTTAAGACGTACACTGAACACTCAGAACACTAAATCCACACCGTGGAAACCGATATCAAACTTTTTGGGACGAATACATGGGATTCTGTCGGGAGTGAACGGAGGTTAAACCGCCGCGTGCAATGCTCCACCACAGAATCCCAAATTACTGATTTATTTTTATTCTCGGGTGGAAGATATTTTTGGTTGAACTTTGGATTGTGCCTGTGGCCTGCCCTTTTGACAGTTGTGACCTAAAATTGGTGTATGTGTGTGTATGTGAAATGGAAATATTTTAATTTTATAAATATTAATAAAAATTGAGAATAAACTTGTTAGTACTTGTAAATGTGTCAGAGTACATCATCATTATTATGGCTTTAGTGATAAAAAGTTACTGTATTCCTAGGTTATATACTCTATACAGAACGTTCAGGAAATTTTCTTCGACTTCCTCGGCTAATAGGGTAATAATACTAGGGTTGATTAATATATTTTTTAATGTGCAATTCTAATAAACTGTATATATTGTTTTAGAAGGGGCTGGTCTTGGGTGTGTATTCTGCAGAAGACGGCAAGGACATCAAACTGAGTGAAAGAGCTGAAAAGTTTAATCAGGTATCACAAGGAAAACTATTGGAAAGCATACATTTGTGAGTTAACTTTAATTCTCCTATTTATGTCCCTTTATTTCTTGTTGTATGAATATTTTGCCTTATCCTGGGTGGCTGTACATTGCTACACATATTTGTCTATTTTTTTTGTTTATAATAGCAATTCCCGACCTGAAACTTTCATTGCTTTCCTGTACATGTCAATTCCATTTTTTTCCTAAAATATATAGATTGATTTAGTTTTAAATGTTTTACTATATTTGCAATTTAAGTACTTACATAAATCATTTCATGTGTATTATGTATATGCACTCTTGTAAGTTGATATGATTGTTTCAGGTCGGCAACTTCATTATAAATTGCTAAAAAATGGCAACTAACCGTGATGGTCGCAGTAGTTCTGCATCCTCACATAGTGGTTCAAATATACCACCAAATCGTTCCTCTATTCGTACCCCAAAACGGCCACGCCCACAAACAGGCAGTTTTGAAGAAAAAAGTGCTGATTTTTCATGTCCAATATGCTTAACTTTGATTGAAGAAGCTCATATAACCAAGTGTGGTCATACCTTTTGTTACGGATGTATAACAAAAGCATTAGAAAATCAGAAACGTTGTCCAAAATGTAATTCAGCCATTACCATTACAGAGATTTTTCCAAATTTTTTATTAAATGATTTAATTAAGAAGCATAAAATGAGGCTCAATGGATATGAAGCGCTCGGCATAACAAGGGACAGTTCTGGAGAGTTTAGCACTGCTGCAGATGGTTTAAGAGAGTTTGTAGCTACAGAGTCCCAAAATTTAACATTACCAGATGTAAATGTCATGTTAGAAGTGCTTACTCAGAGGAAACAATTGCTGGAAGCTGAAACTTGTGCAGCACAAAACCGGTTACTTCTAGAATTTTTAAAGCATTTGTTGAAGCAGAAACAGGAGAGGCAAGCGCAAATTGCAAAGGAGATTACCATTATTGAGCATGATATTGAAGAAGTCAGTGAGAAGTTAAAAGAAGTTCATAGCAAGTGTCCAACTTTAGAGGATGTCGAAAGGACTGCTGCAGGAGCATCTGAATCAGATGCTTCTACTATCAATGCTATGAAAAAGGAGATGATGGAAATCATTGACAATATCGGTTCATCGGCAGGTAAGTTTGCAATTATTTAATTTGTGGTTCAAACTATCAGTTGCTGTATCCTTGCTATAATTGTTATACCTACAGTTGATACAAGGTTAATAACTTAGACTCACTAACTAACCAAAACTTTTACACATTTTGGTAAGAAAAAAATGCCTGCTATTTATGTGAGGGTAAGATTCTGTTTTTTGGAAACTTCAATAAATATGTAAGCAGCCGGAGGGTAATTTTAAATATGCAGCTAGCTGGAAGGTATTGATTTAAAATATTAGCAAAAAATTTTCCAAACTGCTCTAGTTCCACACTTTACCTTTACCACTTTTTTGTAACTGATGAGGCACAGGTATTTTTAGTTTTCATGTTCTTTGTAATTTGGGAGATTGGTAGAAGACTATAAAAATGAATTAAACCCCTCTTTCAGTATTATATTAAGTAAAACTAACCAACAGCAGGATCGAATATTAAAGAGCTTGATATGCTTCGTGAGTGGCTTTAATTTTAAGAGTAATTTGTCCAACATAGGTGTAAAGGTTTATAAAATGTTGGGGTTTATTGTATGTGAATTCCATAAAACTCCTATATCGATTGAATACATGTTTGTTTATTAGAAATAAGCAATAAAAATACAGTAGTATATAGACATATCAATAAAATAAGTATAAAAAATTGTTACGATCCACAACGTCACAGTAACACAGTTTGAAAAATGTGTCAGAGATGAAGATAAATCATAATTTGTTCTATGAAATGCATTGTTAAACAGGTTAACCTCTCTCGGATCTTTCCGACACACATTTAGTTCTATAAAAAAAAATCCATTTAGGATTTTATAGGATTTTTATTAGGATTTATAGAAGTTCTTCATATAAAATATCCTCATTTTGTATACTCATTGTAATCTATTTTGCCATCTTTAAATCTGTTGAATATAGGACTTTAGTAAGGAAACCAAACCTGACGAGAATATTCCAAAAGTGACCTTACATAATAGTAAAATGTCTTATAGTAATAAATACTATTCAAATCTTTCACAGTTCTTTATTAGTTACAATTAATATGAAAGTTGAAACTTAAGTTACTGTCAAAGAAAACATCTTGGTGTCTTAGCTCTACTTTACTGTTAGGTGAAGCATTACCTATCTAAGGAGTATTCAAATTCAATATTTTCACAACTTCATGTATACATATGAATTTACACTCTTTAAATTTCCCTTTATTATTTTTGTTAGTTTTTCTCTTTAACTTAGAAACATACGTTTCATTTTTGGTTACCTTGCCTTCTAACTTTTACTTTTTTTTTATTTCGCCTATAATTTGGATTGTGTATGTTTTCTAAACAAAATTGTGTAAAAAACAGTGGTCTGCACTTTTTTTTAACTAAACATATAGGCATTGCGTCAAGGACGCCACTGACGTAAGTGTTTTAGAAAACGAGTTTGTACATGACAACAAAATCAAGGAATACATATGTAACTTCGGGTCCCTTTTTGTAGATAATTTTGTTTATATGATGTTGGTCAGTGCTTTTGGCACAGATTTACAGATCTAAAAGGTACAAAATTAAATCATTTGGTGCCATACTACCTTTTGTTGCAGAAGTACTTGTCAAACTTTAACGACTGCCAACCCTGAGAAATGTCACTGCATTTTATTTTCTAACAAATTGCATCATAGAATACATTCCTCGCAGAATTGTAGAATAAATTTTGATTTAGTCTTTGTTTATAAGCTGTAAACGGTTTCGTCGAAACTCCGTTTGTTCTGAAAAAAATATTTTTTAACGCTAATCCTTATGTACATTGGAACAGGTAAACTTTCGCATTTATCCAGCTTTTCTAACTCTTCTAAACTCTCTAAACTCTCCGAGTTTATTATATTATAAGCTTTTTTAGAGTTCTCCATATCCAAAAATTTTCGTGACAGATTTGAAACACTATTCACTCTAACTATGATTAATATTACAAGATTTAGTAAAAATTCAGGTTTTAAAATTCATATGACAATTTCTCTCCCTTGCAGTCATTTAATAATAATTAATAAAATGATTTCTAGCATTTTGTCTAGGAATGTCGGTTTTCCTAGTATCATACCACGGGGCCCTTAGACCCGGTATATAATTCTGTTTATTTTCCCTCGGCAAAAATAATTTGTTCGCTTACATACATATATGTTCTTTTCTTTATGATATGTTGTGCTTTCTTTTTATTAGACAACTGCATCGGACATTAATTTTGTCCGCCTATGGGAAGTGTCTAAAGGATACTAACGACTTATAATAAATATAAATAGATATGTATATGTATAGATATGTAATATGTAATTTTCTAATATTAATCATAGTTAGAGTGAATACTGTTTCAAACCTGAAAAGAATATTTTTGGAAATAAATATCGATGACTCTAAAAAAGCTTATATTATAATAAACTCTTCATTGCGATTGCTTACTTTATTTACTAGTCATAAAAAAAATTCTGACCCCGTCAGATACTCCAATAAAAATTCAACAAATCAGTTAAACTATGAATAAAAGAAGGTAAAAGTAAACAAAAATTAAATTTGTGAAGCGTTACCCAATAACTGATATTACTACTTTTGATAAGCACATTTTACTACTTAAATACTTACATAGTTAATAAAATTAGTTAATGACCAATGGAGAAATTTGGGGTCCTTGGAAAGTATTGTAGAAAATTAATAACAGCAAATTAGCATTTCATTTGGCAAGTTCTGGACATTTTGTCACGCAAAGTGAAAATATTTCCCAAAATACAACATTTTTTTGAGTGGTTGTAATAATAATATTATATTAATATTGTGTTTGTGTCTTCCAACAGGCAGATTTTTATATATATGTATGTATTATTAAGAATATGAATATTGTTTAGAACTTTTTTTTTACTAAGGAAGGTTTGATTATGGGAAACCCACTTAGTCCTTTGTTAGCCGAGATTTTTATGGTTAATTTGGAAAATATCATACTAGAACACCCTTAATGTAAAGTTTTCTATGGTGGTATAGATACGTGGATGATGTCTTTGCTTGCTTTGTTGGAACGGACAGACAATTGAATTCTTTTTTAAATTACATTAACTCATTACATAATTGTATAAAATTCACTACCGAGGTCGATAACTCTATTAATTTTTTAGACTTAACTATTACTATTTATTATAAACCCTGACACACGGACACAGTCATGCATAACAGCTCAAATCACCCTATACACACAAAATGGCTGCATTTCACTCTTTTATACACAGACTTCTTAATACGCCACTTTCAACAGAAAATTACAACAAAGAACGTAATATCATAAAACAAATTGCGCTGAACAACAATTATAGGTAAAATTATAAATAAAGCACAAATGCAGCCTCTATCCGAAACCTAATATAGAACACTAACAATTTAAAACAATTTCATACATAACAGAACCTAGTGAAAAAGTTTCAAAACATTTGTCAAAATGTGGTTTAAAAATAGCTTTCAGAACTAACAACACAATAGAAAATTTTTTAAAAAACAATAAAACGAAATGTCCAAAATCTCAAAAATCAGGTGTCAGGTGTGGACAAACAGGTAGATCCTTCAAGAAACGCATTAACGGACATAAAAGAGCGTACAATAGTCTAGATTCTAATTATGCTACACAGTTAAACACAGAAAAACACATTTTTGACGACAACTTTTACTTAAAGGATGTTCTAGTATGGTATGGTTTTAGACTTAACTGTTACGAAAACGCAAAACAAATTAGATTTTTCCATTTATCATAAACCTTCACACACGGACACAGTCATATATAACAGCTCAAATCACCCTTATAGACACAAAATGGCTGCATTTCACTCCTTTATACACAGACTTGTTAATACGCCACTCTCAACAGATAATTACAACAAAGAACTTAATATCCGTCCATTATAGATAAAAAACAAATTCAAACAACAGTAAACTCTATTTATCCGAAACCTAATACAGAACGCGAACAATTTAAAACAATTACATACATAGGAGAACCTAGTAAAAAAGTTTCAAATCAGGTGTCTACAGGTTGAAATGCGGATCTTGTCTTAAAATGTATATTGGACAAACAGGTAGATCCTTCAAGAAACGCATTCACGTACATAAAAGAACGTTTAAAAACAATAGTCTAAATTCTAATTATGCTACACACTTAAATACCAAAAAACACATTTTTGACGACAATTTTGATATTTTACATACAGCCACAAAAATTTTAAAACTAAATTTATTGGAAGCCATGGAGATTAACAAAATGAGACATTCAAATGTATTGCTTAACGATCAATTAGATTTAAATACATCTCCTTTATTGAACTTAAATTCTCACAATAACATTAATTAAGGTTTTATGGTCATTTTTCGATATATATAGTAACAGGCAGTTTGTAAATATTACATTTGATAAAGAAAATCCATTTATCAAAATAAATAATTGTTACATTTGATAAAGACACGGTGTTGTCGAAACAATTGTCATGTAAAAATATATAATTTCGTGAAAATCTGAACTTTTAGTTCTTATTTATTTTTCTAGTATATTGCATTGTGCGATACCATATAAGCTTTCTTTAGCTTGTGAGTAGCGAGGGCGTCCATTTTTCGGCGTCATGCGCATCGAACGTATTAATGAAGGCATTCGTTTAATTTGGTTCGTTTAATTGCAGATCGGAAGGAGGAAAACGCGACAGAAACGCCGGCCCGGCCGTTCGCTTCGCTCGCCATGCGGCGAAGACGAATGCACGCGTACTTTGAAGATTTCGTGGATTGCTATTTTTCGTGTCGATCGAAAGATATGATATTCGGCAAAGATTGCGACGATAAAACCAAATCGTCCGGCGAATCGGGACCGGGTTTGGATCGGTTCAGGGAGAGCCTGATTAAATTTTCCACGTACAATTCGCTCAGAGTGTTAACGACGCTGAATTACTCCACGGATCTGTTCAACAACTCGACGATAGTCTCGAGCATAGAGTTCGACAAAGATAACGAGTTTTTCGCCATCGCGGGGGTCACGCGAAAGATAAAAGTGTTCGATTACGGCGCAGTCGTGCGGGATATCGTCAACATTCACTACCCGTGCATCGAGATGGTGTCGAGGTCGAAAATATCCTGCATAAGCTGGCACAGTTACCACAAAAGCACGTTGGCCTCGAGCGATTACGAAGGTACCGTAACGATATGGGACGCTTCGACCGGTCAGCGAACGAAAACGTACCAGGAACATGAGAGGCGTTGCTGGAGCGTCGACTTCAACTCGGTGGATACGCGATTGATAGCGTCCGGATCGGACGACGCCCGCGTCAAACTTTATTCGTTGAACGAGGAACATTCGATAGCGACCCTCGAAGCGAAGGCGAACATTTGCTGCGTCAAGTTCAATCCGAAAAGTTCGTCACACTTGGCGTTCGGCAGCGCCGACCACTGCGTCCATTACTACGACCTGCGCAACATGAAAAACTCGCTGAACGTGTTCCAGGGACACCAAAAGGCCGTCAGCTACGTCAAGTTCATGAACGGCGAGGAAATCGTGTCCGCTTCGACCGACTCGCAGTTGAAGATGTGGAACGTGAAGACCCCCTACTGTTTGAGGTCGTTCACGGGCCACCTGAACGAAAAGAACTTCGTCGGATTAGCGACCGATGGCGATTATCTCGCCTGCGGCTCCGAGAACAACGCCCTGTTCGTTTATTACAAGGGGCTGAGTAAAAAGTTGTTCAGTTACAAGTTCGAGACGGTGGGCGGGCTGTTGGAGCCCGCTAGGAGGGAGGACGATCCCAACGAGTTCGTCTCGGCGGTCTGTTGGAAACAGAACTCGAACGTCGTGCTCGCGGCGAACAGTAGGGGTATAATCAATATATTGGAATTGGTATAATCGCGGGCAATTGAATTTGTGATTTAGTTCGTAAGAAGACAATCGGATCGGGTGTTTGTCGTATTCGGCGCGGAGTTGGTGAATGCATTGTGTTGCGGCTTATTAAATATTTTTAATACCATATGTCGGAATTATGCCCATTTTGAACGACGTCATTTTTATGTAGAAATGGATGAGAAAAAATGGATGTCGGTTGCTAGATACAAAAAACAATTGTTTACAAAGTTTTACAAAGTGCACGAACAAGCAAAACCAACAAACAACATAATTATAACCAGAAATCAACATATAGGCAAAATTAAGATTTATACTTAAAATCTAAACATCACATATTCCCTCGACATAGTTTTAAAGTCACTGAAATTATCACAATTTTTCAAGGTATTTGGCGGTTTATTATTTTCGGAGAGACGCTTATACAGAATAGAATTTGTCATTATAATAATATATGTCATTGCGGTTTCTCGTCTAGTAACTATGCACGCTGTTAAAATATTTTATTTTATCACAGATGTAGTGTGGTAATAGTTCATTTCTTAACTAATACATGAAAATATTTGCCTTATAAATAATGCCTTGTTTAACCGTCATAATATTAACAACATTTGACATTAGGTTTACAGGAGTTTATGTGTTTCACTTCAAGATCGATCTTAATGCTCTATTTTGAATTACTTGAAACTCATTTATCTTATAGTTGGGTAAGTTATAGAGGAGTGTGGATCAATGTTTGAGATGAGGTGCCGGAATGCTGTTATATAAAAGTTATTTGGTGTACATGGAAAGACCATGACCTATTCTACATATAAATCCTACTTTTTGTGAAAAAAACATGACTCCAAGGTACATAATTTTATTTTTGCGTACTAGCATGTCATTATGTATTTCAATTTTTATGTTTTCTATGTTAACAGTACTCAATTTTTGTTTTTTCCCAAAACTACGAAATTTAGACTTTGACATGTTAATATTAAGTTTGTTTTTACATAACCATTCATATATTCGGTTTATATCGCTGTTAACACTACATCTCATCTGATGTATGTCACTACCAACTATATATAACTTTATGTCATTAATATACAATAGGAATAATAGAGGTCCCAGTACAGTTCCTTGCGGAACTCCATACATTGTATCGACAGTGTCAGACACACTCTTTTAAATCTAACTTTTTGGGTTCTAACCAAAACTAAACCTTGTATGCCTGGCTTTTCCATTTTTCTTAACAACATAAACCTATCAATAGTTTCGAAAGCTCTCCTAAAATCCAAGAACACAGCCAAAATATGATTGTTACTATCAACAGCTTTTAGGAAATTGTCACATATATTAACTTTCACAGACTCACACAAATGTTGATGATGGAAACCAGATTTATTGCATACTAAAATGACATTGTTATTGCAGAATGCAAGCAGTTTCTCTTTGACGACCATTTCCAATATGTTTTCATAAACCGGAACAGTGTTTATCTGTCTAAATTCTCCATGCTGATTTGTGCCTTGAACCTTTGGAACTGGAATCACAGTTGATGTCTTCCACTCGTGCGGAAATACTAGAAAGTGAAGTATTTATAATCTCCAAAAGACGGTTACTTATTACACTGAAGACAGCTCTGAGTACCCCAGTCGAGATTCCACTCGTCCCACCACCTACATTTTTCACACTATAAATAAAATTTTTAACAGCGGAGAGTGACACACTTTCAAATTTAGAAAACCCCATATAGGTAGGAATGGCTGCTACGAATTTCTGCAATACTACTTACAAAGTATTCATTAAATTTATTGGCGATTTGCATTTCGTCTGAAACTGTCTCCACTCCAAACAATATTTCAGCAGTGACTGTTGTATTCTTTTCAGGGAGAAGAACTTTTAAGTTTTTCCATAGAACTTTGAAGTTATTCTTGTTTTGATCGAGTACCCCCTGAAAATAATTATCCTTTTCGATTTTTATTTGTTTTACAATTTGATTTGTAACTCTTGTAAATTTATTCCAACTGCCCACTGTTTCGTCGTAAACTGCTTTGCGATAAAGTTTGTCTCCCTTTTTCATTAGTTCCATAATGTCAACTGTGATCCATTTTTTATGTGCGTATCCCTGATTAATTGTAATTTTTTTCATAGGGCACATTACATCGAGGACAGAACTAATACTATTTGTAAAATTATTTGCCAAGATAATTCTTCCAACATCTATTAACTATTGTTTCATGAGTATTACAATCTCTAACCTTGTCCAGTTTAACCGAAAACAAACAGTGATCACTAATTTTAGGAGTTATATGGACTTCACATTTCAGATACCTGTCATTGGTAACAATAAAATCAATGAAGGTTTGACTCCTGTCAGTGTTTTAACAATTTGTGAAAGGCCTTTTGACTATACAATGTTCATTAATTTGTCCCCATAATATGAGGATTTTAAGATATTACTCACTCTATCTAAGTAACCTGCAAAGTAGTCTATAAATTTTGCATTTTCAATTTGGGGTGGGTGATATAGGACAGTACACAAAAATTTATTTCCTGATATAGTAACGTCGATAGATAACAACCAAACATAGTTTTGAATACATTCATTTGTTACAAGTTTATATTTAATATTATTTCTTACCAATGCCATCACTCCACCCGTCCTGCGGTTCATTGGTAGACACTGCTCAATCCTGTATTCTTCAATTCCCAATTCGCACGTTACATGCGTTTCCGACACAAACACTAATTTCGGCTTCCAGTCATTTATCAGAATGTTTATATTGTCCTTGTTATTTTTTTGTTTTTTTTTTATTTATTTATAATAATTTTTATTGTCCAATAAATTAACATCCATTTGCAAGACAACTTTGCCCTAATATCTACAAACTAACTACACTTGTGTGCATAGAAATCGGCTCATTGTAATCTTTTGACTTGACCACCAAAACTAACTTTTTGACTTGAATTACATTTTTTTTCAGAATATGATTTACTATGAATTTAAATTGATTAAAATTCATTTTTCAATAACTGCAGGAGGCATTAACTTTTTTATATTACTAAAAGGAACAGGCTTATTGACAATTAATCACTAACACTTATTTTTTAATAATGGGTATGACCCCTCTTGCCCTAATAACATCTCTTACGCGTTCGCAATTGTTTCATGTGGAATGTTAAAGCACTCTTCCTCTATTGCAACTGTAAGCTCTGGGATCTAGGTTGGAATACGAGTTCTCGTTTTAGCTCATCCCATAAATGTTCGATCGGATTGAGATCGGGACTACATGCTGGCCACTCCATAACTCCATAAAACCGACTTCTGTAATGTAATGTTGCACGATACTTGCGGTGTGCTGCCTAGCATTGTTATTGAATTTTTCTTCAATATAGCCGACTTAACGAACCACACAGGCTGCTAAAGTCAGTGATTAAATAATTTCATCAACTGCAAGCTTCAGAGCTTGATTGAAACTGACTCCCATTCTATTGTGTACCTGCTTATATATCGTTTGAGGGGGGCGGAGCTAAAAGCTGGGCATGAACATTGTCTGGAATGACTGATTCTCAAATTGACAAAAGCGTCTTTAGCTCCGCCCCCGTCAAACAATATATATGCAGGTACAGAGTAAAATGCGAGGCAGTTTCAGTTAAACTCTGAAGAAGCCAACATTTAGGGGTAGGTTATTCGAAGCCACCCCCAAATCATTTTGCAGAGATAAACAGTCAACCACAATATATTATTCTAAAAAATTTCTGCAAAGAGCAAAATTTGACGATGAATGTTAACATCTATATTATTATTGAAAAGCAAGAAAGTCAATGGCGTTAAGTTATGTGACATATCCATAACTGTCAGTTAAAAACATTGGTTTTTTACCTTGCCAAAAATCACAAAGGTAACAACAGGTACAATCAACAATCATTACTTTAACACCGTATAGTCAAAATGCCACTGTCAATTAGCAACCTCTACTTTGTAATAATCAGCAAACATATGTTTTTGACAAGCAGCATGACATCACTAGAAATGGGTATAATTTCGACCATAAATATTTAATCATAACTTTCAAAACCATTTTTTCACTCGACAGTGCAATGGAGATCCGACCATTCACTAGTAGTAACAAAAAATAGTGCAAAGATAGCTAGAATTTGTTACTTATATCACAATAAATTCTTTCTGTAGAATATAATATTTCAATTAGACTTCGAAATTTAGCAGAAATAGGTACTACACACATGGCCATAACTCATTCTGTTAAGAATATCACCAAAATCACTTGTCATTTCAAATTGTAATGAAAACAGCAATTTTAAATTACCAAAAAAAAAAGTTAAGCAATAATATTCTCATCGCTTTAATTTGTTATACGCGGTTCTTCGAAGAAAGATAAAAGATCCGTTGAATAATGTCAGATTTTTTTAGCAGAATTTTTTTATATCTGGAATCGGATGACAAGGGTATTGAAAATATCCTCCATATTTTGTTCAGCTGTTTGGAATTTAACAGGCCTTTCGCCAATCTCTATTATTCTTGCAGAAAAATCTGAATTTTCAACCAAAAGAAAGCCTAACCATATTGCCTTCGTTTGTATTAATCCAGGTTTCGGTCTAGTAAATCAAAAAAAAATTAGAGACGTTTCATTAGTGATCTTGCTCCAGGACGCATAAACATTTAAACACTATTATGTTGACCGATAAATAATAAAAATTATATACTACATAATGAAGTCGCTATCTCAAATGGTGAGTGTCACCCTATGATTTTTAATTACCATTGAAAACCCTATATATTTATGCAAAATTATATCGATTTGACAGGCAAGAGATGTTTTGGTGCTCGTTTATAACAAAACTAGATAACAGGTCTTTTTGTATTTATCTGTCAGCAAGCAATAACATCGATTATGACATCAATTTTAGTTAGTGTAATTTCTATATAGAATATCTAAAGTCTTTTTTGAAGTAATTTTACCCTAACAATCCCTCATATATTTATGAAAACGGGTTTTCATA